GGCTCAGGTCAACTTTCCTCCAAGAGGCAGGTTGTGACTCAGTTTCCTGCCTGCGTCCGCCGGGGTCAGTCCCTCCCCCATGGAGCTGGGGACTCTGCAGACAGGGAAGTCGTCACTCCGTGAGGCCCCTGCACAGAGGAATGGAAGACCAGGTCCCGCCAGCTCCCCCTCCCCTCTGCATCCTGGCTTCCTGGAATTGCACACGGGGTACCCCCCTGCCTCTCCCCCCACTCAGCACTTCCTGCCCTGCTTTCCCACAGCCCTGAGCACCGCCCCCTCCCAGGCGCTGTGATGGAGGGTGCGTGTGTCATGCCTGTGGTGATGGAAAATGACTGTGAGCAAGCCAGCAAGGGGATGTCCCGGGCTGTCTCAGGGCCAGGCTGCGGCTACTGGTGCTGAGCTCAAGTGCAATCAACAACCCGCCCCTCGTCCCCAGTGGCAGTGGCCATGGATAGTAGGGTGTAGGGTGAGAGCTCAGGGCTCCGGTCCTCTCCTCTGGCCCCTAGTCTCACTGTGTGGCCTGGGACACGGCGCCATCCCCTCGGGCCACCTGTCTCCATCGGGGACGCAGGACTCAGAATCTCCGTCATTCTTGTCTTGCGAGGGCGCCGAGAGGTTTTGTGAACTTGCCGAGTGAGTGCTGAAGATGCCCGGGTTCAAATCCTTGTGCTACTGTGTTCTAGCCGTGTTGCCTTGCACGAGCCATCAACCGCTCTGTGCCTTCGCCTTCTCGTGTATGTAATGGAGTAAGAATGGCTTCTCTCTCCTCCTCTCTGACATCATTGCCAGTGATTAGAAACCATGCTTGGACCAGAGCCTGGTGCCCACTGAGCGCTCAGTAAATACAGCTCCTGAGGCCTGAGCACGTGCCACTGGGACGCTCACAGGTCCTTGTCTGCACAGCTGTGCCTCCCCCATTGCTCGGTGATAAGATTCAAACTGCCACACTGGCTGCTAATCTGCAAGTACAACCCCCCTCCCCACTTCCAAGGACCACCCTCAACCAACTATTTCCAAAACCAGCTGAACTCTGGCCAGCCCCTCTGACTAACGCCCCATCAGCATTCCGCCTCCTTCTCCAGGTCCGAGGGTCCTCCAGAGTCTTCTCACGCCTGGTCGTGGGTCTGATTGACCTTCTGCGATGACTGTTATTATCTCTCCTGTAGCCCCAGGATCTAGCGCAGGGTTTTAGAAGAGGGAATGCAGAAGGTGACAGCAGGAGGCAGTGACCAACCCCTACTTGGGACGAATCAGAGGGCCTCCCAGGAGTGGAGATGCTGGGGTGGGGCCCTGAGGGATGTGTAGGAGTGTGGGAGCAGATTGTTTGGGTGTGAAGATTACTAAATGAGTCAACTGTGGCCCTGGCCCTCACTCCTCGCCTTCCACTCTGGAAGTGAAATACATGTAGTCCCGGCCACAAGCCACATTCCATGTGGCACCTGAAACCACAGAATAGCAGGGCTAAGAGAGCACTTAGAAACCATCCAATTTAAGCAAAGGAAAAAGAAAAGAAACAACAACAACCACAACAAAAGAAATCATCCAATTTGACTACCCCATTCACAGATGGGGAGACTGAGGCATGAGAGCAGATGCGGCCCATCAAGTCATGGACGATGACAATGAGGAGCTCAAGCATTGTCCTGAAGATATCAGAGAGTCAGTAGGGGCTTAAGCAGGTGTGGCATGGCCAGACGAAGCCAGAGCAAGACCACCCTGGCAGGGCTCAGAGGTGGAGGGTAGAGGGACAGGTGGCTGCGGAGGAGGCCCAGCAGGGATCCCATGGAGAGTGGATGCTGCCAGGTCACAGGTGGGGATGGCTTCAGCCACAGTCGCCATCATGGAATGTGTGGAATGCGGGCTGTTTTTTTTTCATTGGTTGCCAAGTAAGATTAGAATGGAATTTTGCTTGTTATGTTTTGTTTTGCTTTTTTTCATTAATGTAATGGCTGCCCGTGCAGCCTTGTAGGTGCAAAGGACCAAGAGTTCTGGCGCCCCAGCTACCCGAGTTTGAACCTTGTCTGCACCAGCTGCGCTTTGTAACCTCCCAAGCCTCGGTTTCCTAATCTTCAAGCTGTGGAACCCCACCCCTGCCTCACAGGGTCCTTTCCCGGGGATGAGAGATGAGCTTGGGAAGCGCCTGGCACCGTGTCTGAAACATAAACATTAGTTTCTCATTCCTTTTTAAAGTGCTTCTTGACTGTTGTTGGCGTTATCTGGAATGTCAATAATTAGAGGGCGGTGGGAGGTTTGTCACCCTAGCCATGGCCTGTTTACAGTTTTCTTGGTAACCATGGGCCCTGGAAGTTGCTTGGAGTGGGAGCCGGGAGGTGTGGTGGAGTTGGTGGTGGTGGAGGTGGGGGGAGGGAGCTTGGGGAGTTGAGGGAACACATACAGCTCAAGAAATAGGAGACCTGAGAGGCTGAAAGGCCCCCCCCCACCCCTCCTCCCTTTCTCTTATCCCTCCATCTGCCCTAGAGGCCTCCTGCTTCCCGCTCTGCACCTGATGGATCCCGGATCCCGGGCCTTCGGCTGCCTGGTCCCCAGCTGGTGCCGCTTCTCTGCCCTGCAATCCAACCCGGGCAGGCCTGTCTCTCCTTTACTCCCTCCGCCTGCCCCTGCCCGTTATTCTGCCCTTGTCCCAGCTCCCGAGGCCGCAGGCAAATCCACTCTGGACCATCAGACCATCTCCACCTGCTGTCAGGGGGCCCCTCTCTCTGCTCGCTGCCAGCTCAGGTCTCTCCTGGGAAACGGCGGGGACAGCTGGGTCCCCTGCGCCCACCTGCTCACAGGACCCTCTCAGCTTTCTGCTGCCATCCTCTCAGCCTGTCCTCCTGCCTGGAAAATCCGAGTCTGGAAAAACAAGAGCTTCTGTTGTGGAAGGAGCCTGAGGGATGACCTACCTGGTCCAGAGATGCCACCAGGTGCAGCTGTGATCAGTCGGGACCTGCCTATGGAAGCTGAAAGGGCACCCAGGCTCCGGAGGATGAGGATCTGTGAGCAAGATCTGCCAGGCGCGGGTGCGATCCACTCGCCATGTCTGCCATGGGTGCTGTTAATGGATGCCAGACATTACCTCCATGATCTGGCCCAACTTTTCAGTCAAGGGCATGGAAAATAAATACAAATTTTGTACATACTTCCCAGCATCATCTCTCCTTGCCTGGAAAGGACTCGGTGAGGCAGGTGTCATGTTCCGCAGTTTGCAGATTAGGGGACGGAGGCTCAGGGAGGTCACGAAGTGCAGCTGGCGGTGGTACAGCCAAGAGTCATAAAAGTCATGAGACCATGTCAGGGGATGCCTGGACCCCTGCAGGATAAGATAAACCTGACTCCTGTTAGTGAAAAAGACATTTCCTCTACGATCCTTTTGCTTTTCCTCACGAAGGAAGGCTGTTTGGTGCCAGGATGTCTCCAACGGCTTACCCACACCTAGTAGTCTCCCCTTTATTATTTTTAATTTTTATTTATTGATCTAAGAGAGAGAGAAAGCAAGAGAGAGATCAATTGGTGGTTCTACTTATTTATGCATTCATTGGCTGCTTCTTGTATGTGCCCTGACTGGGGATCGAACCCTCAACCTTGCCAACTGAGCAGATTTCCAGCAGGCAATGGATTAAAACATTTTTATTGCATTTAATTTTTACGGTTACCTTTCATTTATAGTGAATATCAGCTTCCCATTTCCAGAAGCAATATAAAGATTTTCCTTTAAATAAAAGTGTTTAACCCAAACTGTGAATTGACTTAAAGAAAAATATTAAGTAAACAGAAACAAAGATGGTGCACACGGATCATTAAAAATATATCTAGCCCTGGCCGGTTTGGCTCAGTGGATAGAGCGTCAGCCTGCGGATTGAAGGGTCCCAGGTTTGATTCCGGTCAAGGGCACCTGCCTGGATTGTAGGCTCAGTCCCCAGTGGGGGTTGTGCGGAGGCGGCCAATCAGTGATTCCCTGTCATCATTGATGTTTCTGCCTCTCTTCCTTTCCCTTCCTCTCTGAAATCAATAAAAATATTAAAATGACCAAGGCCCGAGACTTGTAACCTCCCCAGAACTCTGCAAAGTGGAACGGACTTGCAGAGCTGTTCCCCAGTTTGCCCCCGGACACCGCAAAGGTCCAGGCCGGAGCGGGGCTCTGACGCCCAGCACCCAGGCTGTCCCACGCAGGAGGTGGGAAGGAGGCGGCAGGGTAATTGAGCTGTTCCATGGTAAGAATTCCAGACTCGGGCGACTTCAGGAAAGGGGTTTATTTTGGACGCACAGGAAACAGGAATCCTGAGTGAGAGCCGGTAGCGCCTCAGCAGCACGCATCTTTGTGTCAGGAGCGGGCTCATCTCCTCTCCGGCCTTTTCCAGTGCTGTCTCTCCCTGTGCCTGTTCCAGGAGCCTCCCTCCCTCCCCGAGTTCAAATGCCCAAGGCTGAGAGAAATCTGATTGGTCAGCGCAGGTCCGGCCTCTGTGATCGGACAGAGCTTCTGTCCTAAAGTACATCATGGGTTGCCAGTCGCCCAAGGGGTGGGCTTGTGTCAAATGTCACATCAGCTTGGAGCAGAACCTGTAAATACAGGCACTCCGCTCTCCCTGCTGTTGTAAAGAACAAGGTTCATGCCTTTGCAAGACTCCAAGTCCAGGAAGAAAGTTGTGACAAACATCACAGATGTGATTGGTGCCAGGTGTTAGGCTAGTGTGCAGGAAACAAAGAGAGTCGAGAGAGAAAGAAAGAAAGAAAGAAAGAAGAAGGAAGGAAGGAAGGAAGGAAGGGAGAAAAGGTTTAATCTGTGTCCCTGGGCGACCCTCGAACCACAAAGGCAGGGCCAGTGGATTCATGCCAACAGGGAAGGGGGGTTCTTTTTATTCAAGTGTTTAATGAGGGCAGGGGCATGAGGGGGTCGACAAAGTTTTCAGGAAGGAGTCCGTGTCTGTGTGGGGGTTTTCAGGAAGGAGTCCGTGACTGTGTGGGGGTTTTCAGGAAGGAGTCCGTGTCTGTGTGGGGGTTTTCAGGAAGGAGTCCGTGTCTGTGTGGGGGTTTTCAGGAAGGAGTCTGTGTCTGTGTGGAGGTCGTTATGGATTCCAGGGAGGGTCCATTATCTCGTCACCATCTGCCTTGCAGTGGCAGCACCGGACCCTGGGCTCCCTCCCTCCTAACACCAGGGAAGAGGGAGAGGAAGTGAAGGTGTGGTGGGGAACCCTGAGAAGAAGGTAGGAGAAGAGGACTGCCATGGGAGGGGATGGGCAGTCCTGGAGCGGGCATGCTGGACCCAGTGGGCAGGGGGCTTCGCCTCTCTGAGTCCTGACTTCAGAAGGGTCAGGTGCCCAGGGTGTGAGGTGGATGGCATCCCCTGCAAGAAGGCAGCTGGGTGCAGGAAGCCCAGGCAAGGTGGTACCTGACAGTTCATCCATTCATCCGGGGAACACGGTGGGGTGCCAAGTACACCGAGTCAAGTGCAATGAATGGAGCGGCCCTTTAGGAGGTGTGCCAGCCCCTGGGCTGCGGAAGAGAGCCCTGCAGCGGAGGGCGGAGGAGGCGGGACCCAGGAGTGGGCTACTGCCACCAGGAGGGGTCTCTTTCCAGCAGCCTGCCTTATGGCTCCGTGGAAGGATCCAGCCGGTGTCCACGTCACTGGGGGATTTCTGTCCGTACTTGGGCCGCAGCCTTAAAGATGCAGTAGTCAAGCTTTCTGAGGTCACAGCGATCCCAAAGGGAAATGGCAAGGCCTCTTTATCCAGCCGCCCTGCGACCCTGACAACTCCAGCGCCGAATCTCAAGGCTCGGGCTCGTGAAGGGAGGCGGTGTTTCCCTCCAGGGAAGCTGATCCCACGCTTGAAGGGTAAGGGGAGTCTGTCGCCTCGATGAGATAGGAGAGGGCACCCCAGGCACAGAGAACGGCACGTGCAAAGGTGCGGGGGCATGAGGGAGCTCCAAGGCTCAGGAGGACTGCTGAGAGGGTTCCAGAAGGGAACGACCAACGTGATGCTGGAGGGCCAGGGACAGGCCCGGAAATGGGCTGAGATCAGAGGGGTCCCAGGGACGGCATGGCCTTGTTTGTGCTTTGGAGGGAGCGCTCTGGCTGCCCCATGGAGGGTGGGTGAAAGGGGGTGAGATGGGTTGAGACGGGGCAGGAAGCCCCAAAAGGAGGTCGTGCAGACCCCCAGAGACAGGAGCACTCGCCTTGCGGAGCAGCTGTCGGCTGGGGAGGAGCGATGCCTCAGAGGTAAAGTCCAGGGCACCCCATGACCGATGGGGGAGCCAGTGTCCCCCGCAGTTCCTGGCTGGGACAGTGAGTAGGATCAGGGAGCAGCAGCTGAGGTTTGGAACTGAAGGCTGAGTGTGCAGGGCCTGGTCGGGGCTATCTGAGCGAAGGCGTCCAAGGGGCAGCTGGACACTGAGGAGTTCAGCAGTGGACAAGCCTTGAAGATAGAGAGTCCCCACGGGGCCTGGCGCGCCCCAGCCGTCTGTCTACGCCAAGTAGGCCGGGTCCTGGTCCTGGAGCTCTTGGAGGGACAGGTATACATCAGTGTTCAGGGGCAGGCAGGAGGTGGGGGCCCTGACCTGGCATTGCCCAGGAGGGCTGGCACAGGGAAGGCCAGACCCCTCCCCAGGGCCAGGGCCAGGGCCAGCGCCCTCCTCTCCTGCTTCTCCCAGCGCATTCTCCTGGGGCGACTGGAAACCCACCAGGCCAGTGGCTCCTGGGGTGGGAGGCCCCAGGGGCTGGGGGGCCCAGTCTTTGGGGACTCCCTCCTGCAGGGAGGGCGGCAGCCTTTCTTCACCAGCCCCAGTGCCCCCCAGGGCAGTGTTTGGGGTGCTCGGGCCACTGAGGAGACTGGGGGAGAAGAGCAGCAGGTCATCCCTGGGGGGGAAGGTGCAGTAGGCATCATCCTCCCCTGGCGGCAGCGGCAGGGATGGGAGGAGAGACCCCTCGGGTACTCCGGGCCCGTCCTCGTCCAGCTCCTCGCCACAGGGGTCGTAGGTGAAGTACACCTGGCAGGCCTCGATCTCCAGCGCATCCGGCAGGTGGAAGAAGAAGTAGCCTTGGTTGGTGAAGCAGCTGGTCAGCGAGTGGCCGCTGGTCTCAAGAGGGGGCGAGGGCCCCTTGTCCTGCCGCAGCAGGAGCAGCTGTGTGGCCTTGGCGTCCCTGTCCAGCACCTCCAGCGGGGAGATCTCGGGGGCCGGGCCGCTGGGGCTGAAGGAGGACGAGGGGAAGGGCGAGGAGAGCCACTTCTGCCAAGAGACAGACCAGAGCGGGTGAGTGGGATGCCTCCTCCCACAAGCCAGCCACTCCCCTCGGGGAAGCCCTCCTTGGCTGCCCCCTACCCCACCTGCCTGCCCACTGGTTTGCTCCCCAGCCCGTCAGGCCTTCCTGGCTCCCTGCAGGCGCCCGGGGCAGTGCTGGCTCCATGAGCGACCGCTTACTGAGCACCTACTATAAGCCTAGCGGCACCTAGGTACCAAGGACACAGCAAAGGGTGGAACATCAGGGTCGGGTGGGGACTAGCGTGAGTGTGAATCAACCAGCCAATGCTGAGGCAGAAGGGGCCCGAGGGCGCATCCTGTTCGCTATACAGACTCGCCTGACTCTGATCACACAGGGAGTATCTCTGGTGGGGAGCTACTAGTCCCCCAGTTCGCTTCCCCCTCCCAGTGCCCGAGCCTCCCACCTGCCCCACCTCCGCAGAGAGGAGCGTGCCCAGCGGAGCACTTCTCTGGTGCTGCCAAGTCCAGAGCCCTGGCCAGGAGCAGGGAGGCTGGTCCAGCCCCAGCTCTCACTAGCTGTGTGACCTGGGCAGGTCCCTGCCTCTCGGAGCCCCAATTACACAGCAGTTTGCTGAGTCTTCCCTGCTGCCTCACTGGGGACCTGCAGGGAGCTGTCAGGTAAAGAAATGAAGGCGGGGCCTGGCTGGCCTGGCTCAGTGGCTGAGTGTGGACCTGAGAACCAGGAGGTCACAGTTCAATTCCCAGTCAGGCCATATGCCTGGGTTGTGGGCTTGATCCCCAGGGCGGGGTGTGCAGGAGGCAGCTAGTCAATGATTCTCTCTCATCCTTGATGTTTCTATCTCTCTCTCCCTCTCCCTTGCTCTCTGAAACCAATAAAAAAATATTTTTTAAAAAAGGAAAATGAAGGTGGAAACAGCGGGCACAGGGTACAATCACACTACACAGTGGGGGGGCGGGGGGCCCTTGGGTGGTGTGAGGGGGGCCCCAGGTGCATTTGAGAACCAACAGCTCTGTCCTGGACCCTCCGCAGGCGGACCATGGTCCCAGAGCTCAGGCCTGATAGGCCCCTCCCTGCACCCCTGTGCCCCCAGCACACGGCCCGGGGCAGGGGGTGCGGGCAAGCAATGAGACGGAAAGGAACTGTGAGCAGAGGAGGAAGTGCCGCATGAGGGTCACTCAGCGGGCAGTGGCCCATGTCAGGGGGCAGGCGGGTGCTTCCTGAAGACACACGTATGCACATATATGCACACACCCACGCACACACCCACACACACACCATATACATACACACTTCACACACATTCACACACACGCATGCACACACATACACACTTCACACATACACACACATATGCCCACATACACACTTCACACACATGCACACACATACACACTTCACACACACGCACACATATACACATTTCACGCAATACACATACACACATACACACTTCACACATGCACACACACACGCGCGCGTGCGCACGCACCACTCTACAAAATCTACCCCCTCCCCCCAGGAGAGAAATGGCCTGCTTCTCCCTCCCAAAGTCAAGTTTCTGGAGCTAAGTGGGCTGTTATACACACACACACACACACACACACACGCATGCACACACATGCACACACAAAGCACATGCACACACAAGTGCGCACGCACCACTCTACAAAATCTACCCCCTCCCCCAAGCCAGGAGTTTGTGTTACGGAGGAAGATGTAAGAGAGAGACCGTAGGGCCAACTGAGGGTGGCCAGGAAGGGTGGCCAAACTGAGGGTGGCCAGGAAGGGTGGCCAAACTGAGGGTGGCCAGGAAGGGTGGCCAAAAGGAGAGTGGGAAAGGGCGCAGGCCGGGCGGGTGCACAGAGGCAGCAGCGCTGAGCGTGCAGCCAGGAGAGGCCAGGCCGTGGCCAGTGCTGGCGTGCCAGGCTCCCAGGGCCCCTCAGAGGTGCGTGTGGTCAGCCACTTCCTAGGCCGGGGCCTCCGTCCACAATGCCCCGAAGCGCATTAGTGGGCCAACTGAGGGTGGCCAGGAAGGGTGGCCAACGAGGAGAGTGGGAAAGGGCGCAGGTCGGGTGGGTGCACAGAGGCAGCAGCACTGAGCGTGCGGCCGGGAGAGGCCAGGCCGTGACCAGTGCTGGCGTGCCAGGCTCCCGGGGCCTCTCAGAGGTGCGTGTGGTCAGCCACTTCCTGGGCCGGTGCCTCCATCCACAATGCCCCGAAGCGCATTAGGGGGGACACAGGGGAACCCGTCCTCCTTCATGCCCACGCACACACGCGCGTGCACGCCCAGGTCCCGTGTCTGGACGGGGCAGTGGGCCTGTGGCCTTGCAGCTGGGGGTCCTGCGATAGAGAGAAAGAGGGGCAGGCCCCCCACTCGCGGACAGAGGGTGGGGTCCCTCTTGGCCTCCCGACCCCCAGCCACATTGTGCGTCCCCAGGGCCTCCTCCACACACTGGGCCTGGGGCAGACGCTGTAACTGGGGGTGATCTCACGGGGGCATGGAGTGGTTTGCAGCTCTCTAGGAGCGACCCCACGTTACCTCAAAATGCCTAGGCCATTGAATCAGGGAGACTTCAAGCTGGAGGAGGACTGAGCGTGCACCGAGTCCAGCCTCCAAGCAGGCCCAATGTAGGAATCCCTTCAGCCATGTTTGCTGCAGAGGCAAGGCTTGCTGGCATACCTTTGCTGATGGGGAGCTCACTACCTTCAGGACTAAAGGAGGAATTCCCAGTTGCTGCATTCCCCCACACTGAGAGAATTGTAGGTAAGCTATCCAGTCCTAGGGACATTTCCAAAGAATTCCAGAAGGGGCCCGGACCGACCTGAGAGAGCACTCCAATGCCAGCTCATGATAGCCAGTCCGGGATGGCTTTCCAGCCCTTCCTGACCTCCCTCCACCCCCCTTCAGCCCCTCCCCCCAGCTTAGGTGCCTGAGGTAGGGGGTGGGTAGGGTGGTAGAGGCAGCCCACCCCTCCCCCTACCCCCTGAGGCTTCCTTCATGCAGTGGGTGTGGACTGGTGGAGGGAGGCGGGGAGACCACAACTTTGAATGGAGTTCAGAGTATGACTCTGTGGGCCAGCACTTTCCAGATGAATCTGTTTTGTGGCTAGAGGTGACTGCAGGACTTGTGAGCATCTGTGAGAGGCCAGGGAGCCCACCCAGGGAGTCTTTGCAGGGCAGAGGGCGTGTTTTCTGCACAGAGCAGGTGTGTGCTCCGTGGTGTGGGGAGAACTTGTACCCACAGAGCAGAGTGAACCAGGAGGGCGTTAGGACAGATGCAGGTGGTGGGCCTCCTGGTCAGGGCTGCCATGGATAGGGGTTCAGGTTTGCACTGCCCAAGGGCACCTGGTTTGGGGTGTGGTGGGCTGGGACTGAATTCCAGCCCATGCTCTGCTTGCCAAGACCTGCTCAGTCAACAGGCTGGTGACAGTAAGTCTAGCTGTGGGCCAGGCAATGCTCTCAGGGCCATATACATAGTAACACTATATTCCTCCCCATTTTACAGATGAGGAAACCGAGGCACAGGGGTGTTCTAACACTTGCCCAGGGTCACACAGCCAGGAAGTGGTGGAGCCAGGATTAGAACCAGGCAGTCTGGCTCCAACAGGAGGTGCCATTCCGTGTGAGAACCACCTCCCGCCCTTGGGCACCACTGCCCACGCGTTGGCTGGCACACGTCAGCTGCCCGCTTCTGCCCGCTACCTCCGAACTCCTACCTGGAAATCTCCTCCGTGCTCTGAGCTCAGCTGGGAAAAGAACTCTGAGGGGTCTGGGATGTGACACTTCAGAACCTTCTTGAACCTGAACAGGGGAGAAGCGGGGGGAAGGTGAGAAGGGAAGGGGCCCCCTGTCCTGCCATCAGCCCACAGCTCTGAGGGCAGAGCCCCGAGCCCCGCTACATGCGATCATTCATTCAGTCAATGTCGATCGCATGTCCAATAAGGGGTGTGGTGCTGGGTGTGGGGACACACGCCTGGCCGACAGAGAAGGTCCCTGCTCTCCAGAAGCTGAGATTCTAACGGGACAAATACAAACCAAGTGCAGCAACAGGACCCCGCAAACACGCTGTGGAGGCCAGGAGCAGCGGGCCCAGGGGAGGAGGTGGGGGTGGGAAACAGAGCCAGAGCCCCGCGGAGTGGGCCAGGAGGAGTGGGTCAGGCCAGAGGCCAGATCGGGGGCCTCCTCGTCGGGGCTCTCGGGGCTGGTGGCCCAGGTTGTGCCTTGCCCAGGGCCGCCTGGTGTGGGGAGAGGGGAGCGCGGGCCGAATTCCAGTCTGAGTGCCCTGTGTCTCCAGGCATCTGTGTGGAAGTGGATGGCACAGCCTCGAGACCCCAGAGAGCCCGGCTGCTGCCCACATGCCCAGCCCTCTCCCCCACCCTTTCTGGTCTCTGTGGCAACCGCCTCTCACAGAGAAGGTCCCTGCTCTCCAGAAGCTGAGATTCTAACGGGACAAATACAAACCAAGTGCAGCAACAGGACCCCGCAAACACATCCCTGCACGCTGTGGAGGCCAGGAGCAGCGGGCCCGGGGGAGGAGGTGGGGGTGGGAAACAGAGCCAGAGCCCCGCGGAGTGGGCCAGGAGGAGTGGGTCAGGCCAGAGGCCAGATCGGGGGCCTCCTCGTCGGGGCTGTCGGGGCTGGGGGG